AATATTTCGTCATTTTCTCCAGGTACAGATTCATTCGTCATTTACAGTCGAAAATATCCATTACACAATTACCGTCCAATAATAGGATGTGTCAGAAGTATATAACCAAAGTTGGTAACCGATTCAAATTGAAGCGCCTTCGATCAGTGCCATCTATGAGTTTGGACTAGAACCTTGAACCTTTGTTGTCGTTTGAATTTTCATTCGGTATCAGAAAATTAACAAGTTACTCAATTTCTGCGGTTAATTTATGAACTTTTATAATTTCATCGTAAAGGTGCTGTCTTGGCGAACTTTCTAATATAACTTTTGATATAAATTTGTCCCTAATTAAATAATTATTAATTATTATTCTACCGAGTGTTTGAATTGTTGTCGAAGACGCCATTGGTTTTTCATTAATTGCTATCTTTTATGCAATTAATTTATAGATTGGATGAACACATAATGAAGAGAATATCCTTGGGCATCTTCTCATATAACTTTTGTTCACATTTTATTTCTAGATTTATTCATTATTTAATATTTTCTCGAAAGATTGTCCCGGTCAATGTTACGAAATCATGAACGCCATAAAATAATTATTAATACCAAGCTAATTAGCAACAAATTGTTATCGAATTTTACATAGGAATGTTGCCAATAGTTCTAGCTTTACGATGGAATTATGAAAGTTCATAAGTGAATTACGGAAATTGTGTAAATTATTAACATTTCACTGTCGAAGCCCTTCTATCCTTTTGTATCCTCTCTCTGTCCTTTGCTGTCACGTGTCGAACTCTTTGACGACCACCTCGTCTATACTGTGTTTCTATAACTTTCGCACTGTTGTTGTTAGAGTACGCGGTGAACATACACTATTATTTTATTTTGTAAAAATCGTTTTAAATAATAAAAGTATGTTTGGTATTTATACCCCATTTAAAAGGAATTTAATTGTAATGCAATTATAAATAATATTTTCTCTAATCATATAAAATTTTAATTATACATACATATATTATACTATATTGATATATTGCCTATGTTAGGTTAGTCATTTAAAATATTCTTTTTAGTTAAAGATCATAAATTATTATTTTAAAAAAGAAAATGCAGTAGATAATTTGTGGAAAATTTTGTCTATATTATAACTGATACAATGATTACATTTATTGAAAATCAAAAACAATTAAAAAAAAATGTTATTTAATTTTTAAAATGAAATAATTAAAGGAATGTTATATTTCTATATAGAAATACCTAATAAGAAATATTATTTTGCACTTTATGTAACTATATTACAATAATAAATAACAAGGTAACAAATAGAATAAATCACAACCTTTTGTAGCTTTATATTGAGTTATTTAATAGTGAATTACAATTACTTTTTATGATTTTTATTTACAAATAATAAAATTTTATATAATTTTTATGCTACATTCAATTATGAAATATTCAATAACTACTGAATATATTAGTCCATTCCTTCTTCTTCTCCAATTTCTTCATATTTTACTAAAATACAATAAAATAATTATATCATTATGTAATATTTAAATTATTAATGTCCAGTAATAATTATACAAAGATGAACATAAACTAATAAAAAGGAAGGATTTATAAAAGTAAGGATGAAAAGGAGGATACCTATACAATTATATGTCTACTTTATCAAAGATTTTGAGCTCTTCGAATTTTGTACTTCTATGGTAGAAGTTTCATTCATTGTTATTGATTCAAGAGATTTTGAATCTTCTTTATTAGAATGAAATGAGATATAGTGAGTTTTTGATAAATTATTTCCACGAGGCTCTCCAAGAACTATGAGAAAGAATGAAGTTGAAAAACAAAAAATATCACATTTTATCTCTATGCAAAGTCTATTATTACCAAGTATTTCTAATATAAATTTTATGTATTCCTAAATGTTCATAATATGTGACTTTAAAGAGTATCCTTATCTAAAACTAAATATACTTCCATAGAATATACAATATTTTATAATGGCAAACCATATTAACATAATTATTAGACATAGGAGGAATGATGCAATTGAGTAATTTTATTGCTGCATCCTACCTCCATTTTCACAGTTGTTTCAGTCGATACATCAGTTGTATCATTTGTTTTTTGTTTAAAAAATTCAGTTATCATACGAAAATATTCTAATTCAATCACACTTTTCAGTATTGGAAATTCATTTAATGAAATTTCCTTTTGGCTGTCTCCTGGTTTCACTGAAATTTTTAATGAATAATATTGAAAATTAAACCAGACTTTCATGTTATTTGTACAAAATTAATTTAGTAGTATTTTAGTATTAATAATGATTACTACATTGTTTATTTAGAAGTTCATATTGCTTGCCATTTACATAATTAATATATAAATTTAATATATATGAATACCTTGACATAGATTTTTAAAGCAATAATAGTATAAGACAAGGAGTATACATACCATCATAAATGAAATTGTAACCAATACTCATATAGTGTTCCATTTTATCAACTACTTGTTTCATTTCTTTAGGAAAGCAAATACACCCAATAATGCTAGCACCTGTAGATGTATAAACTAATCGTTTTAACTTGCCTCCTCTCAAACTTAATACTAATCCTGATAAACCACCAATACCAACTGCTCCTAGTCGTGGTATATAATTATCATTGTCTTGGAGATAATCAACTACAACTACAACAAAATATTAAATTTTATTGCCATTAATATTTTTTTATCCAATATTATATTATAATGAAATTGGTATTGAAATATATACAAATTTCATGTGAATTATACGTACATTTGAAGTTTTCAAAAGCATTTGAAACATTATGAGAAACTGTATCTGATATAAGTTTTAACTTTTGCACTGTTTGACGTACTTTTCTAATATTTTCTTCTACAATGGAAGGGTATTCTACGCTATAAAAAATTATGATCAACTTTCTATGTTATAAATTGCTCGCAAGATATAACATTCTTTAATGTTTCCTAATATCTCCCAAAAGAATAAAATCCTTTTATAAAGAATGGATAAAATTGCATTTATCAATATGAAATTACTTGTGCTTTACCATGGCATCTGCTTAGAATACCCATCATCAATAGAATAAATGGGTAATTCTGATGGTTTTATTAATTTCTTTCCTTGTGTTTCATTATTACAAGGTGTGGTATGTTCTTCAGAGGAAGTTGTAGGTTTCATTGCTGGTACTGCAGCACATAGTCCACACGGCATCAAGAATTTCTTGAACAACTTCATGTAAATATATATTTGATTTCTGTTTTTTATATTAGTAATAATATATAAATTATTCTTTAATTTACACATTTCTACATTTTTTGGTTCTTTCATTATATGTCTATACAAACCTTGAGACTACAGCATTCTAAATTTATAAATTTGACATCCATCTGCATCCTTTCATTTATTGATATTTCCAATTTCCTCCTTTTTCAAACACGTGGCCTACATTCTGTTGGCAGTTCATAACCTGTTGATTTATTTTTTTGTTCAGCATGCACAACCCACATACATTCCCTTTTACATTACTCATTCTAGGTATTCTTTGTTTCCATTACTCCCGCAATATTTCGTCATTTTCTCCAGGTACAGATTCATTCGTCATTTACAGTCGAAAATATCCATTACACAATTACCGTCCAATAATAGGATGTGTCAGAAGTATATAACCAAAGTTGGTAACCGATTCAAATTGAAGCGCCTTCGATCAGTGCCATCTATGAGTTTGGACTAGAACCTTGAACCTTTGTTGTCGTTTGAATTTTCATTCGGTATCAGAAAATTAACAAGTTACTCAATTTCTGCGGTTAATTTATGAACTTTTATAATTTCATCGTAAAGGTGCTGTCTTGGCGAACTTTCTAATATAACTTTTGATATAAATTTGTCCCTAATTAAATAATTATTAATTATTATTCTACCGAGTGTTTGAATTGTTGTCGAAGACGCCATTGGTTTTTCATTAATTGCTATCTTTTATGCAATTAATTTATAGATTGGATGAACACATAATGAAGAGAATATCCTTGGGCATCTTCTCATATAACTTTTGTTCACATTTTATTTCTAGATTTATTCATTATTTAATATTTTCTCGAAAGATTGTCCCGGTCAATGTTACGAAATCATGAACGCCATAAAATAATTATTAATACCAAGCTAATTAGCAACAAATTGTTATCGAATTTTACATAGGAATGTTGCCAATAGTTCTAGCTTTACGATGGAATTATGAAAGTTCATAAGTGAATTACGGAAATTGTGTAAATTATTAACATTTCACTGTCGAAGCCCTTCTATCCTTTTGTATCCTCTCTCTGTCCTTTGCTGTCACGTGTCGAACTCTTTGACGACCACCTCGTCTATACTGTGTTTCTATAACTTTCGCACTGTTGTTGTTAGAGTACGCGGTGAACATACACTATTATTTTATTTTGTAAAAATCGTTTTAAATAATAAAAGTATGTTTGGTATTTATACCCCATTTAAAAGGAATTTAATTGTAATGCAATTATAAATAATATTTTCTCTAATCATATAAAATTTTAATTATACATACATATATTATACTATATTGATATATTGCCTATGTTAGGTTAGTCATTTAAAATATTCTTTTTAGTTAAAGATCATAAATTATTATTTTAAAAAAGAAAATGCAGTAGATAATTTGTGGAAAATTTTGTCTATATTATAACTGATACAATGATTACATTTATTGAAAATCAAAAACAATTAAAAAAAAATGTTATTTAATTTTTAAAATGAAATAATTAAAGGAATGTTATATTTCTATATAGAAATACCTAATAAGAAATATTATTTTGCACTTTATGTAACTATATTACAATAATAAATAACAAGGTAACAAATAGAATAAATCACAACCTTTTGTAGCTTTATATTGAGTTATTTAATAGTGAATTACAATTACTTTTTATGATTTTTATTTACAAATAATAAAATTTTATATAATTTTTATGCTACATTCAATTATGAAATATTCAATAACTACTGAATATATTAGTCCATTCCTTCTTCTTCTCCAATTTCTTCATATTTTACTAAAATACAATAAAATAATTATATCATTATGTAATATTTAAATTATTAATGTCCAGTAATAATTATACAAAGATGAACATAAACTAATAAAAAGGAAGGATTTATAAAAGTAAGGATGAAAAGGAGGATACCTATACAATTATATGTCTACTTTATCAAAGATTTTGAGCTCTTCGAATTTTGTACTTCTATGGTAGAAGTTTCATTCATTGTTATTGATTCAAGAGATTTTGAATCTTCTTTATTAGAATGAAATGAGATATAGTGAGTTTTTGATAAATTATTTCCACGAGGCTCTCCAAGAACTATGAGAAAGAATGAAGTTGAAAAACAAAAAATATCACATTTTATCTCTATGCAAAGTCTATTATTACCAAGTATTTCTAATATAAATTTTATGTATTCCTAAATGTTCATAATATGTGACTTTAAAGAGTATCCTTATCTAAAACTAAATATACTTCCATAGAATATACAATATTTTATAATGGCAAACCATATTAACATAATTATTAGACATAGGAGGAATGATGCAATTGAGTAATTTTATTGCTGCATCCTACCTCCATTTTCACAGTTGTTTCAGTCGATACATCAGTTGTATCATTTGTTTTTTGTTTAAAAAATTCAGTTATCATACGAAAATATTCTAATTCAATCACACTTTTCAGTATTGGAAATTCATTTAATGAAATTTCCTTTTGGCTGTCTCCTGGTTTCACTGAAATTTTTAATGAATAATATTGAAAATTAAACCAGACTTTCATGTTATTTGTACAAAATTAATTTAGTAGTATTTTAGTATTAATAATGATTACTACATTGTTTATTTAGAAGTTCATATTGCTTGCCATTTACATAATTAATATATAAATTTAATATATATGAATACCTTGACATAGATTTTTAAAGCAATAATAGTATAAGACAAGGAGTATACATACCATCATAAATGAAATTGTAACCAATACTCATATAGTGTTCCATTTTATCAACTACTTGTTTCATTTCTTTAGGAAAGCAAATACACCCAATAATGCTAGCACCTGTAGATGTATAAACTAATCGTTTTAACTTGCCTCCTCTCAAACTTAATACTAATCCTGATAAACCACCAATACCAACTGCTCCTAGTCGTGGTATATAATTATCATTGTCTTGGAGATAATCAACTACAACTACAACAAAATATTAAATTTTATTGCCATTAATATTTTTTTATCCAATATTATATTATAATGAAATTGGTATTGAAATATATACAAATTTCATGTGAATTATACGTACATTTGAAGTTTTCAAAAGCATTTGAAACATTATGAGAAACTGTATCTGATATAAGTTTTAACTTTTGCACTGTTTGACGTACTTTTCTAATATTTTCTTCTACAATGGAAGGGTATTCTACGCTATAAAAAATTATGATCAACTTTCTATGTTATAAATTGCTCGCAAGATATAACATTCTTTAATGTTTCCTAATATCTCCCAAAAGAATAAAATCCTTTTATAAAGAATGGATAAAATTGCATTTATCAATATGAAATTACTTGTGCTTTACCATGGCATCTGCTTAGAATACCCATCATCAATAGAATAAATGGGTAATTCTGATGGTTTTATTAATTTCTTTCCTTGTGTTTCATTATTACAAGGTGTGGTATGTTCTTCAGAGGAAGTTGTAGGTTTCATTGCTGGTACTGCAGCACATAGTCCACACGGCATCAAGAATTTCTTGAACAACTTCATGTAAATATATATTTGATTTCTGTTTTTTATATTAGTAATAATATATAAATTATTCTTTAAAAATTGTTATTTGCAGTTATTAGAATTATATTCAGCAGTAAAATTTTTAATTAAAAAATTCTTTTATATTTTACTATTTATATAAATTATCACTTATAACATAATATAAAATAAAATAGAAATTATGAAAAATTTAAATAATGAATAATACCGAATAGAAATTAAAATGTCATGATTCTGCTTCTACTATAGTTTTATTACCATTGCTCGTTGCATTTTAAAATGCAATTTAATAATAGTTATCTTAAGGACAAGTATTTTTTTTATAAATTACGTCAAAATATTTCAAATTACTCATCAAAATTCATTAACTGTTTAACTACAAAGAAAAATTTATTTCCATACTAATAGAACTGATTTCAACAGGCCATAGACTTAATATATTAAAAGTGCGACATCTAGTGTTTGCTTCAAAAGGTATTATTAATTATATATATTTAAAAGAAAATAAAGAATTTTTCAATGAATTTTAAAAATATTTATTTCTAATAAAAAATTTTCATTATTGTAGATTAATATTTCAAATATGTTAAAAACAATATTAAAATAATTTTGTGACGAAATAAATGTCATCGATTTTTGTTTATGTGAATTAATTAAAATAAATACATGAATATTAATTTTAATTATTCAATTATATAACTATTGAAATCACAAATATATTCATAAAATATTAATATCAAAATAATATCACTATATACTTACCAGATTCACAGTCAACTTTAACAAAAATTTATGTAAAGATTATGTAGACCTTAATTACTAAAATCAAAAATTTTTGTACATCTTGTACTTACGGTACTTCATACAAAATTGATATGATGTATTAGAACGTCATTTATGCTGTCAATTGTAAATATTCGTAATATTAAAAAAAAGAAGATCAGAAGGCAGCACAAACTTTATTTTTTTTTTATGTTTTACGTTGTTATATGTAATAAAAATTATAGTGAGATTAAAATTCTTTTCTCCTTAAAAATTAAGTAATTTATTTTTTAATTAATTAATTAATGTATACATATTTATGAAAATATTCTAAAAGAATGATCATCTAAATACTTACTTTTATACCTGTTCTTCCAAATTCAATTAATACACCTGGCTGATAATCATCACAGCGATGTATTGGTTCTCTGCAAGTTACATCTGTACCAAATACATATCCAATAGTAGATTCTAAAAATCTGTGTACGTAATTGTTCATATTTATTTAAAACGATAGTATACAATTTCACTATTCAAAATTTTAAAGGTTAAAATTTTTTAATTTTTACATTTCATACAAAATCGAAAGTATTTAATAATCTATTTTCATGCGTGATTCTACTGTTTTCACACACATTGCTTATTTGTTTGAAAAGATGTGAATAATATTACTTATAATTCTTTTTTCTTATAATTATATTACCAAATAAAATTTGATGTTGCTATATATTTAAATTTTATTTGAATATTTTGAGAAATAAACAATAATTTCTTAGTATTTTGTTTTTTGTCATAAAAATATTAATGAACATATAGTTTTTTTTATTATTATATTAATACCTATTTAATATTAGATAAATAATATAAAAATCTTTTAAAAATATAAGATTAAGCATTTAAAGTCAATGTATTTATGTTAGTAACTTCATCTGTAAGAATATTAGACAAATTTACAAGATGTATTTACTGAATATAGAATAAAATTTTCAATTATAAAAAATATAAATTTTTCATTAATTAAAATACTCTTTAATTTTTGTATTTTATTGAATCTTGTTTATTTAAATTATATTTTATAATATTCATTTTAAAGCTAATGTTTCCCAAAGTTTGTCTTTTTTCATAATATTAATGATCATTTCTTGGCTAACAGACCATAATCTTGCTGCAAGTGCAGGATCTAATGCAGTATTTGATGCATCACAACGATAACAGTTATTGAAATAAAATCCAGTTACTCCTTCTAATTCTGGTGCAGTTGCACAGAAGACTGATGTACTGGCAGCTTGTTGCTGTAAAATTAAAAGACAAATATATATAATGAAATTTTTAAAAATTCTGTTTTTAAATAAGTAATAATCCTACCAGTGATTTTGTAAAAGGTCGAACAAATGTAAATAATAATCGTAATGTCCATGAATAACGAGACAATGAAGAAGAGACCATGTTACCAGGGTGGCAACTAAAAATATGTACAGTGGGCCAACGTTTTGATAATTCTTGTGCAAATAAAATATTACATAGTTTTGAATTATTATATGCTCCCATGAACCAATATTTATATGCAGGGGGAGATAAAGTTAATTGATGAAAATCTTCTACTGTTTTTAAAGATGAAAATCTAGTAACAAAAATGAGATATGCTGAGATATATTGATATTTAAGATAATCATTGATATGTATTGATTTGTAGAAAAATAGACAAATTTTAGAAATAGTATATCATATATACATTATATTTATTGAAAAATTTAGAATACCTGTGTGATTCACTTGAAACTATCACTACTCTAGAATTGGGACATCTTTGTATTGGTTGTTCTAATAAAAGGGTGAAATAAAATTGAGAAAGGTGATTTACTTGAAATGTGGTTTCATAACCATCTTTTGTAAGTTGATAAGGTATTGCAAACACTCCTGCATTTAATATAAGAATATCAAGAGTTCTAAAAATATAAAATATTTATATGATGAAATTAAGTATAAGTAATGTAATGATAATAAAATTGTAATTTATTACGATTATTTCTTGTTATTGATGATTCTTTTCCTAATTTAAATTTACCTATATTTTTGCTTAAATTTTTCCGCTGCTTCTTTAACACTATATAATGATGACAAATCCAAATGTAATGTATCACATACTACATTTTCTCTTTCTTGTTCTATTTTTTTTACTGCTTCTGTAGCTTTTTTTAGATCTCTGCAAGCTAAAATAACTTTACATCCATGTAGAGCTAATGATCTAGCAGTTTCAAATCCTTAAAAATTACAGTAATAAGGGAAAGAAACAAAATATATAAAATTATTTATAAAGGTTTATAAGTGATATGAATATCAAACAGATATACCTATTCCGGTATTAGCACCTGTAACTATAGCAGTTTTGCCTCTTAAATCTCGACCATATAAAACAGATAATGCTGTACTGCTACCATCGAAACGTTGTCTCACAGGCTGTGATGATTCCCTATATTCCGTAGCAAATGCAAGTCGTGGGTCAGTATATGTTGTTGTATGATTCATATGATCAACAAATAAAACTTGACCATCTTCTGACACACGTTTTTCCCATCCAGATGGTAATTCTTATTAACAAATAATATTGATAAATCTTATTCATAATATTTTAAGTTTATAAAATTTTTTATAACTGCATAAGTTTTCATCACTGATTAAAAAAGAGGTTTAGATATATATGTTTAAATAACAATTATAACTAGGTACAATAACATTTCATTTGATATTACATTATAATTATATGAATCGGTGTGTATAACTATCGATATTCATACAAGATAAATAATTAACAATTTAAATAATATATTCTATATTACAAATTTATATAGTAGTATTGTACCCCCTTCAACAATCTTTGTACGACCAGTTCTAGGATGTGTCCACTGTGTGCCTCTTGTGTAGTGACTAAAAGAAAAAATAATATTATAATTTAAAAAATAATATTTTACAACTGTATCATAAGTAGTTTTTACTAATAACCGTACTTTATAGAATAACGATTAATAATAATAATAATATGTATCGTATAACATCATTTACTTTACGTAGTAGACATTTCCATTAGCAGTTGTCATTTCTTCCCATCCAGGTGGTAATTCATCTTCACTGTCGGAATCATTTAAAATACCTATCATTTTCTTCTTATTCTTATTTTAAATTAATTTGTATCTATAATCATTTTACTTGTATTTGTTGGGTACACTATTTATTTACTATGAAAATATACCTATATACCAACTGTATGTACTACCAACATTATAATCAAAACAGATTTAACAATATGATAACAGTTGTCCCTATAACAGTTGTATCAATAATAAAATAATCATTTTTGTATAAACAAATATTGTATAAACTAATTATATATTTATTTAATACAGGAAAAATTGTAAAACAATATGATTAGTAAATTATTTTTAAAGTTGTTAAGTTTTACGATTATTTTACTTATCATACATTAAAAACATTTAAATGAACATATTCATCTGAAATGGATAATAAGATTAATCTATTTCATTAGTATTCTTTGCACGCATAAAGAAAAAAAATTTTCTTTCTATGTGTTTTATATACATTATTAATACAGTCCCATGCCTACAAATGCATCATTCGGGTTTTTGATTTGGATCTGGATGACGCAGAAATACGTCATTGAGAATTTTATATAGCTTTCTTAAAATAAATTTACAAAATACAGCAAATTGTTCAATTTCTTTTTATAAACACTTTCTCAATGTAACGCGATTGAAAGAAAAGATGTGAAATTTTCCTGTATCTACGTCAAGTGCATCTCTAAATGTTCTGACGTCATGTTTAATTATTCCATACACATATGTAAAATATACATAGGTATGAATATTTATAATGACTCAGATATAAAACATGAGATACCATTAGAGAAATATATTAAATAAAAATTAAGTACAAAGTCTGTAATATAAAAAATACGAGCTTAAAATAAGCTTAAAAAGCGAGCTTAAATTTGAACACGTTTCAAGATTCTATTCTAAACGAAGTTAACTGCAAGCCGCACCCGCAGTTTGCGTACAATCGATAGCAGATTTCACTTCTGTCAAATGGATAATGGCAGCGATGGCAATTGATATGATGTTGCAGAGCAATGGATTTCAGTCAAAGAAGAAAGAGGATCCAGAAAATAAAGATAATTTATGGTAAGCTTAAAAAATTCTTGTTAGAGATTTTTTTTAATATCAAGTACATATACTATTATAAGCACTTGCAGTATATAAATATTTTGATGTTCATCTTACATGACATATATTAGAAGTGTGAGAATTAGTCATTTTTAACATTTTACTTTGTATTACTTTTTCTTTTATATAGGTCCTCTATTTTGGCTGAAGTACAAAATAGTAGCAGTAATAAGTTACCTTCAAACAAAAATATACTTGTTCTAGGTAAGTTTGAGTAATTTTCTTAATTAATACAAAATTTTGAAGTCATAAATGTGATTCATATAGATGTATATATAATAAATGTTAAAAGAGAATATTTATGTAATTTTATTTTACTGCAGTTGCTTTTAACATATGCTTATCTTAAACATTGAATTTTTTTTGTTTTCTAATTATATATTTATTTACAATGATTTGAATTTTAATATAAATGTTCATAACATATATGTATATAATAAAGATATTTATTAAACATTTCAATTATATACATATAATTAGTGAGAAATTATTTCATTTATAGGTGATAATGAAAGTGGAAAAACAACACTTATTGCTAAATTACAAGGTGTAGAAGATCCAAAGAAAGGTTCTGGTTTAGAGTTTGCATATATCGATGTGAGAGATGATTATAGAGATGGTAATATTAATTACTTGACAATGTTTGTAATTCTAAGAGGTTAAGAATTATGAAGTTGTATTATATTTATTTAAATTTACTATGTAGATCAAACAAGATTATCTGTATGGGTATTGGATGGTGACCCTGGTCATGCAAATCTTTTAAGATTTGCATTAAATGCAGAAAGATTTCCACATACACTTGTCATGTTAGTTGTTACAATGACAACTCCGTGGGCCATTCTTGACCAACTTCAATCTTGGGCTGCACTTCTAGGAGACCATATCGACAAATTACCTTTAGATAATGATACTTGGCAACGATGTAGGCAACTTAGTGAGTTATATGTTTATATTATTCTTATTGTGTATTTTCTTATTTAATTGTATGTAAAAATTGATTAATGATTAATTTCAGTACTTTTAATCTTTTAATAGTAAAAAGACATATTGATTAAGTAACATATTTCAAACAGTTTTTCAAATTACGTTTTATATGTATAGATGTAAAAAAATGGCAAGATTATACAGAGCCAGGAGATGAATTAGATCCTGGTAGTCCTTTAAGGCGCACTAGTCGTAATTTAGATGATGATACAATGGATAATCTACCATTACCAGAAGGAGTACTTACAACAAATTTAGGCCTAGATGTTGTTGTTGTTATTACAAAAACTGATTATATGTCTACTCTTGAAAAAGAACATGATTATAAGTAAGGTTACAATATAAATATTAATAAGTAATACAATCATAATTGGTATTAAGGAATTATTTTATTTATATATAAATTTGAATTTTTTATAGAGATGAACATTTTGATTTTATACAACAGTGGATAAGACGATTTTGTTTACAATATGGTGCAGGATTATTCTATACATCAGCAAAAGAAGATAAAAACTGTGATTTGCTTTATAAATATCTTACACATAGAATTTATTCATTACCATTTAGAACACCTGCTTTAGTCGTCGAAAAAGATGCAGTTCTTATGTATGTAATTTTGATTAAGTAAACATTTATACATCCTTAATACATTAAACATATTTTTAATTATAGTCCTGCTGGTTGGGATAATATGAAAAAGATTAGTATTCTTCATGAAAATTTGCAGTCAATGAAACCAGATGATTATTATAGAGATGTTATTGCACAACCATCAACTAATAGGAAGGTATGTATGTATAAATTATTCTTTTAATGCTAATGGTTTTATAATAAAACATTGTTTTACTACTTAGAGTGTAACTAGAGAAGTAGAAGTACAGGCAGAGGAAGAACAATCTTTCTTGGCTAAACAACAAGCTGTATTATTAGGTATAAAAGATCCAACGAGTGCCCTCACAACAAGGAATCAGGCAAGCCCTGGACCAGTTATTCAGGTTATACCATTTGTAATTGGAGCATGCTTGTCATGTTACATACAGTTAATAATCATTCAGCATTGAATAACGACGTCTTTGTGGCTAATTTATATATCTATATCATATATGCTGTCATCATATTTTCATCTTTTAACATATAATGCTTATTATGTCGAAATTATTCTAATTTTAATATTCCAAAAATTCTGACCTTAACTAATGTTTGTGTGAATGTTGCTTTTTATATTCTTGAATGTAATTATTTGATACATAGTATTTACTAGATGTCCCTATTTCACGTGTACATTTGTAATTAATATATCCGTAAATTAACCTGTGTACTTTTTAGCATATGAGTATACGGGTACACAGGCACTGAAATATACGGATACCCATGTACTTTTTAATGCACGGGTATTCGGGTATTAAGATACAGCTTTATTTGCGCCAATATTTACTGTGAAATTAATCTGTGAAGTCATTATTCACTCGCTCATGAACCGCTATAAGCAAAGTTGTGCTTTCTTATCACGAACGATACAGTACCTAAATATTCTAGCAAACCTGTACACGTGAATTTCAGTACCCATATACCTGTGTACTCGTGTATTAGGAAGTACATGGACTAATAAATGGGTAAATTAACTACACGTGTACACGTGTACTTTCAATACATTTTCAAAACCAACAATTTTCGTATTTACATTTCATAATAAATCTTTTGTACATTAATATTAGAATCATTGAATGTTTCTTCTTGTTGACATGAAATCATTTAGAGGCAGTCATGCATTGCTTATTCTTTATGTATTTTTATATTTAGATTAGTATAATAAATTTATAGAATAAATTATATTATGTTGCCTTATATTTTTGAAATTTAAACTGACAGTTATTTAATGATATTAATATATGTGTTTTTTTAGATTTACAATATAGAAAAAGTATATTTGCATACATGGTTTTCTTATACCTTCATCATTTGAATTTTAATGACACTTACATTTACATTCTGTAACTTCATGTCAAATAAAATCACTATGAGCTTTTTATAGTGGACAATCAGAAGCATGTTCTAATCAATGTGGTATGATCTGTTATGCATATAACAGAAAATTCAGTTCCATAAATATTAAATATATTTATATAGGTGGCATCACCAAATAAGAAATTAGATCCCAAAGGTACAGGAGCTTCACAATCTGGAGAAGGTGTTTTAGCTAACTTCTTCAATTCTCTTCTTCACAAAAAGACTGGAAGTCCTGGATCACCAGGTAGTGTAGGTACAAGTCCGATAAAAATTGGTAAGTAATATAATGTTCTACAAACGTATGGAAGTACGAATTTTTATAATATTTTAAGGTAAGCAAAAATTGATTTATGTTTTTATTACTTATTTTAGATAATGCATCAGTGGATAAAGCAACTATGTGTAATGACGCATCAGTGGAATTAGACCGAATTACTCAACCAAAGAAAATTCCTCATTTAAATCCCAATTTAAATCCCAATTTAAATTCGTCATTTGAATGGTAATAGAAATATATTTTCTTTATGACTCATACATTAATTGTACATTATAATTATAATGTATCACATTAAAATTTTGCAGATAACTGAACAAAATGAAGTATATCGTGCGATTTTCATTACATCAGTTGCAATGTTTAAAATTAACATAAACTTTTTTTGTATTTGTATTAATGATATCGGCATGGGTATGTACAAGAACTTGTAGCAATTTGATATTTTATAATAATTTGGTAGAAATTTTTGTTTACATTCACTATATTTTATATCACATATTGTGGTTTAATATATAGTTATATCATTTATTAGTTTAATATCTTTGTTTCGAAGACAACTAAAGATTTCTAATAATTTGTCACAAATAACAATAAATTACTTATAACAAATTTTTAATCGACTACTAATCATATTATGCAAAGCACAGATAATTAGTTAAATTTATTAACGTATAAATATATAGCATTATATTAAAATTTTATGGAATTGTTGTAGAATATTATACTAATTTATAACATAAGATACAATTGCATAATTTAAAATTATTTTTTTTTTTTTAAATAGCTTTTTAAAGTAATAATTTTCGTTAGATTATAGATTGCACGTATTTTGTTTATAAATATTTGCATATTTCTACTATTACAGTTGTTTCGGTATTGGAATTGGTGATGTAATGTCGAAAGTTTATTATGAATGTGTAATAAAAAATTTAATTTAACTTAAATGGGTCACAAGGAATTGGAATTGATGTATAAAGAACAGCATAACTTAATTCAGAATCGAATATGAAACGCAAAAACAAAAAAATAATTATATGTCAGACAACTTACCAATAATCTTGTTTGTTTTGTTTAACTAAATATCAATAACAATATAAATAACAATTAGAAATTATTAAATTAATGTAATTAAATATTTAATATAGTAATACATTCTAATTATGCTTACGCACATGACCTTATACCTTGTTATAGTAAATTATTCAATATTCATTTTCAAAGGATAAAAGAATTTTTTTACTGCTTTTCAATGAATGCTTTCGTTTTTTCGTTTAATAAATAAATATTTCTATTTATATAATATTGTTTTTGGTTATGAAAATTGGCTAAATAATTCATTCTTGAATTCGGTCTATATAAAGTGCCGTTACTGTAACGTAAATGAGTGATATGGATGTATGAGATAGTATTTTATATGAAGTGTTAGATTTAAACAAGATTTCTTAGCCAAAGACACGGGTTTGTCTTTGGTTTAAAGAATTTAACATGGTATGAATTGGAAGTGTATGATTACAAAGCGAATGAAAGTTTGATGTGTTGTAACTTCTTTAACTTTAAAAGAATTTTATGTAAGAGAGAAAAATTTGTAAATTCAGTTATTATCAATGTGGCTTTCTGTATATGAAATAATTGAAATTCTTGGTGAAAAATAAATAATTTTTCATAAACATGGAGTTTATTATTCTCATCATAGACGAGGTCTTCGTTGTTCTATGATTTAATTATAAAGTTATTAAATGTATGTTGAAAAATATGTTTATTTTAAAAAACGTATATGACTAATATCAATTATATAAAGATGACGCAATAACTTAAATTTCACCTCACAGACTAATAATGCAAGTTATTATTAACTTTAATAATCACATAAAACGGATAAAAATCAACGAGTAAAGATAGAAAAACAAAATAAACATCAAAGAGTATTTAATTTTATTATAACAATGTCCAATAAAATATTAAATAAACACGTATCAATTAAACAAAGTTAACGTATTATTGATTTGATAACTCTGATGATTTGACTAAATATAATTTCGTAATGTACAGCTTTATATTGTAAATGACATAACAAAACTAATGACATTTACAAAGTGTCATATAACGACGAGTTTGACCAAATACCATCTGTTACAACTATTAAGTTTAAGTTTTATTTGTTAACTTTTAATAACTATGATATTAAGACATGTTCGACGATTTTGATTTTACAAAACTTAATCTAAGAATATTCATCATTTGTGATAATACTATAAATGGTAAAATGATTCGTATATATTATATATAATTAATTAATCATATGTTATATATATTATACATTATAAATATTAATAGACTACTATACCGTATTATGTTACAATAATGTATGTACAATAATGCAATCTTTATATGAATCTTCAAATCAAATTTTCTTGAAATTCAGAAATTTTTCTGAATTATATAAATAATCCAACTATTGCAAAGAACGAATTATACAGGGTGTCCTACGGACCATTAGGCACGATTTTTCAAGTACTTCGTTTTTATTGCTAAGCTCATACTTTAGGTAATTTGTTATTAACAATACATTTAATAATTTGTACGTTATATGTTTATTGTACATTTATTACAATTAATAATTACTCGTTTCTAAATTTCCTTTTCATTAAAACTTTATATATTTATTATTTTTCTAACAAATTAGGTGACACTACACGATTAATATTATAGGAATTTATTTTTGATTTGTTATGGATAAGGAAGAAATCGACAGGGAAGATATCGATGAAGAACATACTGGTAAGGAAGATACCAATAAGGAAGTTATCGGTAAGGAGGAAAATATTTATTATCGATAAGGTTGGATAGCTTGACTGTGTTAAAAAGCGGAGGATAAATTAATACAAATTACAAATGCATATGAATTTATTTTCGACTTTAATTCGTTACATTACTATTAATTTATTTAAAATTAGGCAGAAATGCAAATGTTATATATTATTAATACTACTTTTGAACTTTTTATTTTATTTTCCAGATTTCAGTTTTTGTTATCATAATCAATGTATTTTAATTTATAATAATACAAACTAAATGAAATTTGTTAATTTGAACGTGGTGGCATAGGTACACATATATGATAACAGTATAGGGGAGTCGTTTGATACGATATGTTCATTTTGTCTTTTGCAAAGGCGAATACTTCTCCTGTGTTCTTATTGTGATATATTCTAAACTAAACAAAATAACAATTAACATTTTAAATGTTAATAAAGTTTATTGTTTTTTTCTTTTTTAAACATAGAAGACTTAACAAAATTTTTATTTTCTAAACCTTATAACATACCTATTACTTATTTACATCTATTTTTAATATTAAATATTTAATATTCTTATGAGAATATTTACATTTATATAATTTTATTGAAAAATGAAAAGTTCTACCGAATTAATAAAATTGATAGAACTCCGAAAAAATTTATAAAATTAATAAAATTAATAAAATATTAATAAAGTTGCAGTAGTTTGTACGATTTCCATTTTGCATAAGATTGTACTTAATAAGTAAAAATTATGATTCAATAATTTTTACACGATTTTTTAAATGCATTATAAAAATATTTAACGGATCACTTGTTAGGTTGAACAATGTATTTATTGTTATAATTTCATTGATTACAATCGAGATGATTATATGCATAGTGTAATAAAATAATACAAGTGTTAAGATGACACTACTAATGAACGTTCACTTTATAACGTTATTTCCGCACAAACATAGACAATACAATAGGATTATTGATTAAATAAACAGAAGAATAGAATTAAAATGAAAATACAATTAATTTTTATATATATTCAGTTATCCTGAAGATACAAGGAATTATATTTTTAAGATATTTTAATTGTTCCATCCCATGACTTGATAATACGTTTTTACGATCCCATTGTAATGTTAATACGTTTACATTGTTTTTAATGTTATTTATTAATATCTCTAAGTATAACATCATTTTACAGAAATACTATGAAACAGGAATGGTTCAAAAACTACATATTCCCCATTCACATCTAGTACCTCTTTTAAGACTCCTTGTGAATAATTCGTAATAATATAAAAATATTGTAGTAGTGAATATAACAATTTTTAATTATTTAGTGTTCATAATTTTATTTAAATATTAATAATATTTTGATGAAATAAATATTATTATGTACCTAGGTTACTCAATTCTATATTCAATTAACACACGAGATCCTTTAATGTGTATTAAAATATTTTATATTATTGTAATATATATTGATTACTTTTCCACTGTATTTAATTTAAAGTAAATTATGTATGATTTATGTTTGTAGCACGAGGAGTCTTAAATTAGATTTTAGTGTCTAATACTTGTAATTGTTTGTCTACTTATTTTATGTTTAGTTATTAAAGTTTCTATCCTACGTATTATAATTGCTTCACAAAAACTCCTAAAAATGGATTGTAAATGGAAGAACAAGAGGATAATAGTTAAGAGCACTATATATTTTGATGTTTATAGTGAAAATTAAGTTATAGATAGAACCACAGATATCTATCTTGTGCACTATAATTTCTTCCACTAATTAATTTTCACTGGATTTATTTGAAACATTTGAAATATTCGTATACATTATATTTAACATATATTCATATAACATATTCACATATAACATATACTAAATAAATTATGTTATTATAGAACCGAAATAATTAAAAAATATAATACTTTTAATATTAATTTTATCATTATGTTGTAATAAATTTCATATTTTACTTAATATGAATAACGAATTGAAAGATAAATTTTTGCATTATAGAATATATCTGTGGTTACATCTACTTAAATAAAATGTAATTACGAAAAAATGTCTGTCAGTGCACTTAACAATTATTAATTATTGGAAGCTATAACTGTAAGAAAATTTATGAAGCAAAAGATTGTTACAAAAGTGAATATCCTACAAAAAAGAAGGTATATAAAGTACAGTAAGAAAAATATTAAATACCAATTTTACAATTACAGAATTTATATCAATAAGTTTATCATTTTGAATACAATGATAAATTTTGTTTCCACTCTGCTACAAATATTCATTTCAGGCTTTATAATTAATAAGCAATATTTTCTTTACACTTTTTCATTAATGGTAATATTGATAAAGATTCGCAAACTTTAGTTGGATAAAATGAAAGGAAAGAAGATGCAAAGTCTTGTAAGAAAGACTTCGAAGTTGTCTCTTCATGAGCTAACAAAATTTATGAATTTGTATTTATTAAATATCTATTACCTTTTCAAAACTTAGCTTCCCTTTTTCTTCGTTATTAAAAGTAAAATAAATTGGTTAAAACATTCTATAGCTTAATAACATATGGATAGAAGTTATTATAATATCTATGTAAATAATAGTCAATTATATCAATTTTACTAATAGTACATAATTTTTATCGTTTTATATATATATAAAGTATGCAGGTAAGAAACTTTGAATTAGAATGGTTACGATAATTCTTCTTCTTTTATTTCCATAATTAATTTAATGATAAATCAAACATTTTATGATTTGTAAAACTAATTGGCACTATCCATTGTCATTGGAAACATTGAAACTTTTAACAATAAGATACTTTACACAGCTTCAAGCAGGGAAAGCAAATGCGGCAGTAACAGTCATAAAATTGAAGACAGTGGTGAATAGAAGCGGAGTATTTACAAGAAACTCGTGTAAATTATTTATGAGACAAGAATTAGAAAGTCTCAAAAATTTATATCATTTTAATGATTATTACAAATAATTATTATAAACAATCATGGATTAAATTTTTGCAACAAAGTACAAATTCTATCCATGGAAATATAATATTAAGTACAAACTAATTATGAAATGTAGTATAAATGATGAAGTAATAAAAAAGTAACTAAAAAAATATTGTATCTATAAATTATTGTACCTAAGATGTGATATTGTTGTATAGCTATAGGAAGCGGAAGAGCAAAATAAAAGAGAAATACAAAATTTGTGAGACATTTTTTGAAGTAATCATAAGTTCTTATCTCACTGTTTATTGTTTTCGATTGAGGAAAGCAAAAGCTTTGTAAAAGGTGTTTACTAGCTTTGACACGACATATTGTTAGCTTAATCATACGTTCGAAATAGCATTATTTATAGTTCTATCAAATATCTTTTAAAGATAATTGTGTGGACAGACTGTATATCAATGTAAAATAGAAACATTATTATAAATGTTTAAAAATATTGGTTAATATTTTTGTCGACTAATAATAATTACTAGAAGATTATTATATATTTATTATTGAATTAAACTTGGTAAACTTGAAAAAAAGAAAATAAGGACGAAGCAGCGTTATTGATACATACATATAATCAATTCGTTTAACATTTCACTATCTTATAACAACACAATTTCAGGCTTCATTTAATTCGCAAAATGCCAGTTTACAATTATAGTTCATTGATTGATTATATTTATGTAGCTAAAATCGGCTGAAGTAATAATATTAATGAAAATATTTCTTAATTTTTTAGGCTGTTTAAAAAAACGAAGGAATAAGTAAATATTGCATTCTCATTATTCGCTTAAAAAACAAATGGAACAGGAAAAATTAAAAAATTGTTTAATTCATGTTAATTGTATATAATTACCCAAATATATATATATATATATTTAGAATATATAACAAATTTCAAGCATATATTTAGAAAATATTTACTAAACCTAAAAATAATTATAGGAAAAATTACATTTTATGCTTGTGTATATCGTATATTTACATACGATAAATGTAAATTAATCAAGTAGAAATATTTTGTAAATTATTATAGCATAAGAGTATTATATAATATTTTCGAGAGAATGGATTAGTATAAACCTCCTGGTTTGAAGAATGGGCAGTATATAAATATACTGATGGCTTTAATATCTTATTAATTTATACAACAGTCTCATGAAAGAAGGAAGTATGAAAAATAAAATTTTTACATTAAAATTTGAAATACAAGAAGAGATGCAGTATTTAAATATTCCTATTGGTATCACTGATGCTCATTTATGTATCTAAATAAAACTTCAGCTTTGAATGACAATTACATTTCTAGATCTAATAGAGCAAAATTCGCTTGTCTACTGCCTTCCGGCATATTGGACACTCTGACATTCGGTCTCCGCACATTTGACAGGTGCCGTGGCCGCATAAAAATATCATATTCTTCAAACGATCTAGACAAACTGGACACATGGTCTGTGAGCAAAAAGGAACAAGAAAAGAATTAATTGCTTGTTAATCGAATTTTAGTTAAGCAATATAAAATACTTTAATATTATACAAATTTCAATTAATCAATCCGTTTTTATAACTTATACAATTTCTTTTTATTCTTTTATTTTCTTTTATAGAACTACGATCCTCTGTTGTAGTTTCCATAGGTTGACAGGTGTAAATTATATTTTATTTATAAAAAGGAATATATAAACGTTTAATTAGAATTGAAGCAAATTTTGTTGAAAAAGCTGTATATATATTTAATCATAAAACAAATCTAGAAATATTAAATAAAATTTATTTTGTTATGCTGACCATCGTAAAACAATTGTATTTTATTTTAATTAAACAGATTTTATATTTCATATAAAATTTACATTTTATACATTTGCATATGTATCACTAGTAATGTACAGAGATAAAGTTAAATATAGAAATAAGCATTTATCATTTATTAATTTGCATTTACTTTAAAATAATGTTTTTAATTGTTTTACGGATACATTTGTATGAAATAATGAAACCTTTAGACACAAGAGTTCATTTGTTAATAGATCAGTTTAATGCAATATAATTGTTAATGAGATTATGATGGCAGGAAAACAGATAAAGGTATTGCTGATTAGGTAATGTATTATTAGATTACCAGTGCTTTTATACATACCTGTTCTTTAATATCTTGAAGTTGTTGCTGAAGTTTCTGTATATCGCTGTGAGATGTATCGCGGCTACCATTGTTCATCAAAAGAGCTTCACCACCTCCAATATTTTGTTGCAATAGTTCTTCTTCTTGATCACACTTTACCTCTGTTATTGTTGCACCTTTAAGCATAAAAATGACTCTATGAAAATCTAATAATGATTAATAAAATAATTTCAGTTTCAATGTACCAAGATCAACGCATCATGAACGTCATGATATTCTTAAAAGAAGTCAAATTGACACAAATAATATAAAACAAATGATATTCATCAATAACACTTTTCAGCGCTAATTTTAATGTATAATGTTCAGTGGATAACTTTTGTGGGGTTTATAGTGTACTTTCCTGAAAACGAATCCGTAATTGAAATTGCTTCATCAGGCGCATCCTTTAAAAACTTTCCAATATAATTTTGAATATCAATTTCTTGTGATTTAATTAATTATTAGTGATTATTGTATGGAATGTTTGAACTGATCTCGAAGATACTGTAGGTTTTTTATTCATTACTATTTTTAATGCAATTAATTTATGAATTACATGCACACATTATAAAGAGAATATCCTTGGGCATCTTCTCATATCACTTTTGTTCACGTTTTACTTTAGGTTTTGCTCGTTATTTAATATTTTTACGAAAGATTATGACGCTCCATGTTACGAAATTATGTACGCCACGAAATAATTATTAATAACAAGCTAATTAGCATCAAATTGTTTTCGAAAATTACATAGGAATATTTCCTATAGTTCCAGTTTTACGATGCAATTATAAAAGTTCATAAATTAATTACAGAAACTTGGTAATTTGTGATTTTTCACTGGCGAACCCATTCTATCCTTTTCTAATCGCTTTCTGTCCTTGTCTATCACGTGACGAAGTTTAGACGACCTCCTTGCTCATTCTGTGTTTCTGTTACTTTTCTGAGCTTCTGGTCCAAAATCACAGATGGCGCTGATCGAGCTTCGCGCGAAATTCTATCCTTCTCTAACTTATCGACGGAATGAGTACCGTATCAACGGATTATATTGGAGGTATATTGAGTTTATTTAGCAACAGAATTTGTATTTGTATCATATTTTGCTGCAAATGTTACATATTTTTTTAAAAATATTTTGCTAATTTTACAATAACGTAAAGAAACATACAGCAATTATAGCAAAATAATATTTACTTTTAATTTTAACAGTCTATCTTCATTCGTAATACCTTTACTGTTAATTAATATAGGATGGGTTGTTTTTTCTCCTAGACTTTTATATGTTAGTTTTATTGCACTTACAATGTGTAGCAAATTCGTGTCAGATAAAAAACTTTTCATGGAAATGTCAGAATAGTGCGTAAGAAGTACGTTCGGCGGCTTATTTTTAAACTTTGACGACCAATTATAGTTATTAAGAAGCACAAAATATTTATAATCACGGAGATTGATAAATTCTCACCCAACTTGTAAAACAACAATGTCCTACCGTTCTTGCCTTTTACGTGATATCTCATTTTAATAAAAAAATCGTGCCTCTTTAAAGAAACTCGCAATTTTCGAAAACTGAGGGTGATAGAGGAATTTCGATTGCGGACTCGTTTTCAGGAAAATAAACTCTACAAGAATTATCCAATGCATATTACAGATGGAGGGAAAGTTAAAACTCGTTGGACAGTGTAATCGAAGTTGTTGATGTGATTCAGAATGACGAAGTTTTAGGAAAAAATAGAATTCAATTGCGCCTCGTTTCCACGTAAAATAAAATAGTGTAAAATATATTCGTATAGGTACAAATGTATAATCTATTTATTATATTAATTATAAAATTAAATTTATTAATTATAAATTATAGTTTATTATAAATATGCAATCATAAAGCCACGTATAATTTTAATTTCAATTAGAAAGTAACATGTTTCTTGCTTCTATTTTATTATGTGAAAATATACACTATATACACACTTGAATTCCATCAGTTAGGTTTTATATCCATATAAAATAGTGTAAAATATATTCGTATAGGTACAAATGTATAATCTATTTACTATATTAATTATAAAATTAAATTTATTAAGTATAAATTATAGTTTATTATAAATATGCAATCATAAAGCCACGTATAATTTTAATTTCAATTAGAAAGTAACATGTTTCTTGCTTCTATTTTATTATGTGAAAATATACACTATATACACACTTGAATTCCATCAGTTAGGTTTTATATCCATAATTTATGCTTAGTGACATACATGTCAGATGACGCACTGTCTTTATGACCTTACAATGTTTCTCTTGTCGAGTTTATTTCACGATTTTGTACCTGGAGCATTGGAACTCTTAACATAAGTGACATTACCTCCTCCACCACAGCAGATCGACAGTGGTACCATATGTTGAATTTGAGCTCTGCACTGAACGCATTTCTTCATGAGAGTTGCACAACTTTCACAAGCGCACATATGTCCACATGGTCGAAATAATACGCTAGCTTTTCGATCGGAACAAACCACGCATTCCTCGATCTGCAAATATATATAACATTTTTAATATTTTATTTGATTTGTATTGCATTTTCGTCCAAAGTGATATTCAACATCTTATTTAATTTATTTTGTAAATATTTCACTCCATCGTACTTCAATTACAACACTGCTTTATAGAGAATAATTTCTAGATACAGTATAAAATTTTATGTCGCTAAGGAAATGTTTCACCTTCGTTCTTGAAAGAACATTTTCTCTGCAGATCAGACATTTCTTCACTCTTGGTGCACAAGCATTACAGCAAGCTACATGTCCGCAAGGGCTGAAAAGCATTTCGCGTTTTCCATCGGAGCAGACCAAACACTCGTCGATCGTTGCTGATGGGGCTGCCGTTTCAATATCATGCCTGAAAGTATAATTACGTGTATCGAATATACGAAGATAAAAGTTTGTTCTTAAATTCGCGTCGTTACGACTTGCAGCCGGAAATAAAATTCGTCAGGACTTTATCAAACTACTTACGGGTATTATGGCAAAGACGTGGAAGTTGATATAGTACTTTCATACATAGCATCGATGAAAATAACAGGGATTAAAACTTACTTTCGCATGAACGGACATTTGTTTTGTAGTATTCGAGTTTAAAAAAAAAAATTGGAAAATGCGAAATTCTTTACATTATTAATGAGCATGAATTTAAAATATTTAAATGTTTTTAACGCATTGATCGTCGATTAAACGAACGAAGATATACGAAAAATATGGAATTTAACCCTTTGTGGCGTTATAATGGCAGGTCTAACTCGTCATAAGTTCTTCATACCAAGTTTCACAAAGATGAGCTACACTAGGATGAATAATATTGTATTTAACACATTTATTGTGAGTAAAATTTATATAAATTCCAGAAACTATTATAACTTTGATGTAAATGAAATGTAAATACATGGCAATTAATTAAAATTAAATTCTTTTTCGATGCATAATTTTGGAATGGATATTTAGTATACATTTAGAATTACAACGCACTTTGGTATTTTAAGTATTATACAAAGATAAGATAATAAAATTACTGTATCGTGCCATTGTGATTTCTAATAAGAAACTTATCATGTTCAAAGAATTAATATTATAGTAAAGAGTTTAAAAAAGTAGAAAACAGTTTACAATACTGTATTACCGCTATCGAACTATTCTTTAATAACGAAAATTGTATTTCTGTTTTCAAGTTTCTAATTAAAATTTCTAATCAATCTTGTCGAGTTTAATATAGAATTAGTTTCAAATATAATTTCTATCGAAATTTTTATATAAAGATAGTTTTAGAAAATGAAAACTCAGAAAAGTAAAATTTTGTATTTCTCTTTATTCCCTTTTCAAGGAATTTAGCTGTTGAAAAATGGAACGTATAAATTAAACTTGTTCGTGATATTCGATTATTACGTAATACCGAGAATATGAGAAGTTTCGTGCTGCGAAAATTTAGAGATTACTCGGACTACAGATATGTATATATCTTCCGTATTTGCACGCTTCAGCAAGATATAATCTTATTTCCTTTGACTAGAATGCATACCAAGCCGTCGTAATTACAGAAAGCTACGTGCCAAACAGGTGAATTTTCGTCTGAATAAGTGTAGATTACACTATTTTCCTTGTGCCATTTCATTCTGCAAACTAACACATTAGCAAGCATAAGAAAAGTTCAAGTATTTTTGTTCAAAACAAATTCCAGTGTAGCTTTAATAAGTTTTAATTCAAGAACAAACTAATTTAAAAATTTGTAGTTTTAAAATAAATTTAAAATATTTAAATTAGAAAGAAATTATAAGTTAAAGCGTTTTGAATGTGGTATTTCAAATATATTATAAAATTGTATATACGTATTCTAACGCATTTTCATTTCATCTAAATACTCGAGTATTTTTAGATTATTTTAAACTTAATCGTTTGCACTCAAGAGGCGATACACGACCGTCATTTAGCAAAATTTGAAAGATGGATACTCGATATCGAGTTTGAAATAATACAACAATACATTAAAGATTGGAACAAAGCAGTTTCATATTTTCTACATTATTATCAAAACTGTTCTTGGCTTTATAGCAAAAGAGCTTCGAATAGGTACTTTCCTATGGTGGAAAAAGTCTGAAAGTGCAAAGGTTTAAAGATTAATTATCGATCTTCATAATTTTGTTAAATGATGACCACAGGTCACCGCTCCAGTGCAAAGAATTAACCATTATTCCAATATCCTAGTGTCAGAAAAGTTAAAACATTTACGGCTACAAAACCAATAAATGTACTTCAAAAAAGTAATTCTTGATTTTCATATATACATATATCGCGTCTCCAAAACTTCCAAATCGTTAATCCTCAAAATGGACGAAAATCAAGGAAGGAACGCAAGGATGGGAGAAATTTAATTTCGCATGCCCGCATTCGAAACTTCCCGATGGACTGCGACATTTCGGGGGTGTGACCGCGGGACACAAATAGGACACAAATAGGAGATAGATTCTAATTACTAACGATTCTCTGTCCTTGTGGCAAGTAGTTAGCGTTTTGCAGAGATTCGGATCCGGGCAAAGGTCGAGCGGGGTCTGTCCCTTCTTGTTCTTCAGTTCCAGGTCGGCCCCGTGGGCAGCCAGGAAGCAGGCAATGAAAGAGCTGCTCTTCTTGTCCTGCCCTTGCGCGCCCAGTCCCATCAGGAGCCGTCCTACGTCCTGGACATCCTGCAGCTGTCGCAGCTGCGACAAAGTGTGATATCTCAAGGCTTCGTGAAGAGGCGTGTCGCCATCCTTGTCCGCCACGTTCAAGTTGGCGCCCTCGCGTACCAGCAGCTACAACAGGATTTACGAGCCGCGTTTAATTATCGAACCACCGTCGCGAAATTAATCTGTCAGTTCAAGAACGTTTTAATTATGTATGAGCCGGCGGTTCGTAATTGTTCGACCGAATTCTGACTCTGCTCCGATTTCATGTTCTCCCGGGTATATATGTAAGTATGTATAGATAGCTAAGGATCTCGTGGGAAATTTCTTTTCTTAGAAAAATGTAAACAAGGTATTTTTGTTTAAGTTGAAGTTTGACAGAGGAGATTGTTTAATAACTGGCGATATTTTTGTGGAGATTTTTATGGCTCATGTTTGTGTCGTCATGCGTGTAATTTATTTGATATCTATGTTGATCGATGCTATTATTATTAAATATTTTTTGTTAATTTTGAATAGTATACGTAAACTGTAAAAATTAAAATATTCTCGCATCTATTCTATCTTGATTTCTAGTCGTGTTCGACATAATACACATTCTCGATTTTAAAACTGGTGCTCTGAAAGGATAATAATCGTTAAAAGTTATTGCACATATGAGGTGTACGATTGCTACTGTGACCATCTATATATCGTTATTATATTCCAAATAATCGAATAATAAACCTATTTAAAATTAATGAAGAATAATAGTCTCTTGCCGAAGACAAACACTTCGATCTTCCGTGGAGAAATTAAGATTAATGTTCGAAACGTGTTTTCAAAAGGAACTGGTACACCGGAAATATTCCAGTGGATCGTTTGTGGAGTATCGGAGCAGAGGTGAGGATTTCTTTTTCCCCCTTGTGAAATAAACGTACACGAACGATCTGCGTGTGCTGTCGCTCGACAGCGAGATGCAACGCGGTCTGCAAATTGACGTTTTGCAAATCCAGGTCAGCTTTTCCAGCACGTGCCAGCTGTTCAGCAACTTCGACGTGATTGTTCAGAGCAGCCAGATGAAGGGCCGTGTAACCATCGTCCTTTTTCTCGTCAACTATCCATGGTCTCGGAAGTTTCGAGAGGAGCACCCGCATTGCGCTGCAATCACAAGAAAAATATCACGTTTAACGTGTGATCGATAAAGTGACATTGCACTATTTTTAATTGTCTTCGAAGCATCTTATCGATATCTTATGCAACTTATACATCGATAAAGAATAAATTTCCTTTCGAATATCTTATATAAATTCTATTTTTATTAACTAAAGAAAAAATTAAAGAGAAATTTTATTATTCTTTCAGTGTCATTGTCGTCATCATCTTTTTCCGTATACATCATTGTATCTGCACAATCGAAATCTGCTTTAGAATCAGTTTTCAATTTTTTCTACTTTAACTGGCTTCCAATATTAAAAAAGTGAAAAAAATAATTAACTGTGATTGTATTGAGAAGCAGCTTCGGCAATTTTTTTTTATTTTTCATAAAAAATAGAAGTCATGGACGAGACAGAGGATTAGAAATTCGGCATCGAGGTTTGTTCAAGGGGCAAAGAGGCTTTAAGCTGTCGCGATCAGGAAATGGTGATTTTCGCTTGGCAAATTCAAAACGGATTAGTTATCAAAGTATGGGCAATCAATTACATTGTTTGGCAAACGTTTGAAATTCGATGCTGCATTATTGCTTCGCATTACTGTCGCCGCGTGCAGTTAACCGATGATAAATCGCACGAAATCAAACAGATATTCGTCGTCTGCGGATTTTCGCCGCTGTCGATGCGAATAGTTAGTTTGCGCAGAAATCAACTGAAATCCTTTCAGTTTATAGCCACGACATCATTAACAGACGCGGTTGTCGATTAACAAATCCCGTAAACTCCGACTGGTAATGACGCTGTACGTAGATTATTTAGTAACAGATGTTTACGATAGTGTATCCGCGTTTCTGCATATTCTATATTGTTCCATATTACGCTGGGAAATGATCAACGTGAGAATAAATTTGTTTCGATTCAAATTTACTTTCGTTTCTGTTTTTCACTGATTGATGCTTCTGGTAGGTAGTGGAGAATATTAATCAAGCATTTAAGTTCTTTTAAATTAAGCTGAATTATGTTTATACATTTCTCAAACTGAGAAATTTCACTGTTTATATATAAATGTAATTTATTATTTTATTTTTATTTATTAATTTAATAATATAATTTAGTATTAGTTCATTCACTTACTAATGCATTTTATTTATACATTTTTTAATTACGCTATGTTCAAAAATATAAATTAGTACCATATTTTTTAATTGTAGGATGTGAAGATTTGCATAAAACCACTAGTACAAAAAAGAAAATTATATAGTGTTATTTATCAGTATCAGTATCAGTATCAGATTATCATTATTATTATTATATTCGTTATGGAACATAAAATTGTAAAGTTAGTTCAAGAGATTGTCAATGAATAAATTTAACAGGTATAAAAGTAGATTTTAGTTCAAGTATGAGTTATTTTGACCTTTTGCCTTACCACTTGGGTATTAAATAAGAGGGACTTGACCCCTGCACATGTTTTGAAGAAGAGGAAACCATTTCTCAAATGCTAATGACTAAGAGTGCAACTTGAGCATTCTTTTCATTTATATTATGATTACACTATGATTAAACTAATTAATTAGTTTTATAAATTTTACTGTAAAAATAAAAATGCAGTTTATTATATTTATAATTATTATGTTCAAAATATCTTTAATGAAATATTATATAAAACATTTCCGTTATTACGCATAATTAAAACAAATTTTGCGCAATTATTTACAAATTTTAATGCAATTATCATAAAGACCTTATAATTAATTTCCGTGCGATAAAAGTCGTATTTAAAAATTTTCATTTCAAATTTTCCACGGATTGCATAGTAATTAGGGTTACGTAATTATTATACTCTAAAATAAAGTGACGAATAACGTTCAACTCACGAGGAAAAAGAGAAATCGAATATATTCGAATTTCAACACACAACTAAAATAAAACTGAAAGAAAACATTTAGAAATCAAAGGAACAGAGAATAAACGATAAGAAATCAATTGCAATTAATATTTGACATGAAAGTACAATCAAACTGATTTAATCAAAATTGGGAAACTATTTTTTACCATATAATTATCCCATTTTTCTAGCAATCGCGAAGAGCTTCGGGTTCAGTGGCCATTTAGTTGTGGTTGTTTATCGTGTTACAATTACAAAGACTTCATTTCACCGGTGTTTTTCAAAGGCATTACCAACCATGGCTGCGTTGCCTATGGACCCCATGGAGAGTCTTTTCTCGAGGCTATAGACGGAAAGAGTCGTGACAGCTGCCTTCTGACAGGACCTCCTCGAGGCACCAGCACCGCTATGGTACAACAGCTATGCATATGTTTGTCCCAGTCCACGCATGTGTACATGTCCACGTATGTACTTACGTGTTCTAACCTGATACTTGCAATAGGTATCGAACCTTTAGTTTTCAATTAGATATGTGGCTTTTTATGGTCAACTGTGAAGTATATCAGGTTGTTGCATGTGAAATGGCCAATTTCACAAACGTGTCAAATGTTTTAGAATTATAGTAGCTAAGTATGTTAACAAATGGTATTTATTGTATAACAATTTTATGCTTCAGTATACCCAATTAGACATTAAAATACTCGGTGTTTTGTTAAATTTTATATCACAAAATGCCATTGTATATTACATTCTTTAGCAACGTTACTTTATCCTCAATAGCATAAGCGACGGTTTGCAAAAAAGTATTTATTACATTAAAAGAATTTATTACAAAGTATTTATGACAATTGTATATTATCTACACTATGTTTATAATATAGTATTTCTATATAATATACAGATAATAATTGTTATATGTAATATTTATGTTAACATAAAATTCATATACAATATGAACATTATTATACACCGACTATATATACAGTTATATGCTGCAACATAAATATTATATGAATGATAAATGAAAAATATAGCACATCTTCTGTATATATTATCATATGTTACAATATAAATATATAAATAATAACAAATGTTTATAAAAGATGTCCACTATCTACTATTAACTCCTATCATATCATATAGAACATAATTGTACTAACATATACTACATATATAACATAAATATATTGTCATATGCTACATATACACCATAAATATATTATAATACATCAATTATCCAACATAACTATGCTATCGCATGCAACAAAAATATTACATAAGTAGCAACAAATAAAAGTAAGAAGTAGAAAAGAAGTAATGGAGAAAGATACTGTTTGCCCAATTAACAGAAACAGTCCATTACTCGAATCGGCCTGTATAATTGTCGCTTTACCACAGAATCGATTTGCTCGCGTCTAACAGCCCTTTCTCCGGTTCTATTCGATTTCTCGGTGTCATTACGCATTTTAAGTCTCTACGTTCGCGCCTGGAAGATCGCCATCAGGAGCTATAAAATTTTTATGCTGCTTCGCTGGCGTATTTTTTTTATTAAGCCCAGCTTGCAAGTGCGTTTTCCGGTGCAGTCGCGGAAACGGGATCGCAAATTGGCCGATTTTATAGATATAAATATTCAAAAGGGATTGCGGTGGTATTATGGCGTTAAAGGCAGTAAATTGTTTAATATTAACTAAGACTCGCGTACGGTGGTGTTTTCACGGGTCGATGTCATTAAAGTATCGGGAGAAGAGGTTCTTCTACCCTGTTTGCAAGTCAGTTTCCCCTTTTGTGGCTTTTCTTTTTGGTATTTTATATCTTGCGAAAAAAGCAAAAAAATGATCATTCTCGAACTTTCTCTTATATATTACAGTTGAAGCGAGATAACTTATTATAATATTCAAACGGAATAAACTTCTTCAGGAATAGGAGAATAAATTTACATTACATTGCAGCACGTGGCTGCAAACAGTAACTACTGTTTGATATATAAACGCGTGAGCGCAATTTGTATCGATCCGTATTTCCTTTATGCAACCTTCTCACGGTTCCTTTACTGCTTCGCTCTCATGAAATTTCTGCATGATATCATGATTTACCATCATTAATAATCGTCGCAATTACGACAGGCTCTGGACCCAATAAATAAAGAATGACTGTGACCAACATTCGCTGCCGTATCAGTGATTACGCTGTCAAATCGGTTTCTCTGTCTGATTTCATTATTCTTCATCATGGAACTCGTTTTTGAGTCATATATGTGAGACCAAAAATATGTTTCAAAGTATAATGCAGAACATTATCGATCGATTAATTGACCGATACGATTATTATCCGTCATCTTCTTGTCAATCTTTGAATTGTAAACGCATTAAATCAAAATGATGAAAAATGATAACTGGATTTATACACGCATTCTCAATTTCTCTCGTACGTGAGAAGGTTGTAAAATTATTCACGGGAATGGGAACGAGATTTATCTTTGTCGGCGAGATATAAGAAATAAGGGTGGAGTTATTTTAGGCAAGTTCAAAGTTAACATAATAATTATTTTTAATACTGCAGTTATAGTAAAAATTTATAGGCATATAGTATCTTTGAAACAGTCGTATTATTTGAGTTAATGCTAGTTTTTATTTATCTAGTATTTTTATTAGAGAGTATATATATGTGTGTGTGTGTGTGTGTGTGTATGTATATATATATATATGAATGTGTGTAATAATATTTCCGTTAATTTTTCTAGACTTACAACTACAATAACTATAATTGTAAGTTAATTATTATATAATCGTGTCTAATGTATTATTTTTATTTTATATGGAAACGATTTTTCAGTTGAATAGCAAAAGCAGTAACAAGAACAAAATTGATAAATGACTTATTGTTACACTACATTAATGAGGATTTACAAAATTTTGCTAGTAAATTGACTTCGATCGTTCAATTACCAAGCTTGTAATTAGTAACACTCATGAGGTACTGTATATTTCATACTGGTTATTAATCTGTCAATTCTACACTCGTTTAATTTAATCATTTTTTACGACGAGAAATTTAGTATCTCAGAATTTTCGATATTTTTGACAAAATATCACGTGTGGCATTGTAGAAACCAGTA